AATATGCATGAGATAGAACTTATGCAAGATTATGGGGCACTTGGGATTATTACTATACATAATTTCAAAAGATGCTTTATGTGTTGCTTTAGAAACAATGATAATATATGCATATTTATAAGTTAGAAGATGCGAATCCTAGGTATCTATGTTTTTATCTACTACTCAATAAATTTCTTAAGATCATGTTGACAACCACAATTGATCGTGGGTGAAAAGTAAATGAAAACTTATTTTTTATGTAACAATAAACATAAGGTTTTTGAAAAATTAGATACGATCATACACTCTTGTTGAGCACATTAGTGAATGGTGGATTGTGTAACTTGGTAAATTACCTAGAGAATTGTTTTGCAATGTGAGATTTATCATTAGCCTTATGACAAGGAAGAAAAGGAGCCATTTTTAGAAAATTAATCAATCACCCTAAAAATGCTTCTATAGCCTCGAGTTGATATGGAAAATTCTATAATGAAATCCATGGATAAGTCCTCCCAAGGCCTATAGGAAACAGGAAGTGTTGTGTATTGGCCCAATCTTTGTTTGTTGAATTTGGTCTACCTGTTGTTTAGACATTGATAAAAAAATTTACTGACATTTATTTTGATTGATGGTCGATAAAAAATATCTTTCCTTAAATGCCCTGCAATACCACTAGAAAGTAATTCACCAATCAACAAATCTCTCATACAAGTTCTAAGGAAACATCTACCATCATAAAAATATCTATCAATGATAACAAAATCATTCAAAAACGAGAAAAATTTGTTCTTATGGTCTTTAAAAATAACATGAAAATCAAGATGCGACAATCATCTTTAAGTCTATCAAAGCCAGGGATTTAAAGTTTAAGTGAAGTGATCACAAGGGACGCTCTAGGTAAAAGCTTTTGTTGCTTTATTTTTCATAACAGCTTGTGATTTAGGACAGCGGAATAATCTTGTAAAAATCCAACCCATTTGGCATGCGTTTGATTTAATTTGTTTGTGGTAGTTAATAAATTTTAATGTATGTTGATCAATATTTAACATGAACTACCTAAGAAGCAGATAATATCTACAATGCCTTAAAGATTGAATAATAATATAAAATCTCAACTTGAAACACCACCCGAACACTTAAAAAATTGTAATAAGTGCCAAATCAGAAAAAATAAGTTTCTTTTTATTTAAATATAGAACTGTAAGTTATTGCTGAACACTTTAAAGCATCAGTATGTGTGCCTTCTTGTTATACTTAACCGAAAATAATTTTGAAGGTTTGCTTGCACGACAAAGGAGGGGTGAGCTGAAGCGGTTGAATGATCAGCTACGTCAGATCAATGCAGCACTTAGAAGACAAGCCAAAATAGAATCTTATGCTCCTAAGCTGAGCTATGCACCAGTTGGCAGGATAGCTGAATCAGAAGTTGTTGTTGACCCTAAAAAAGAAGATTTAATTAAAAAATTGAGATTAGGGAAAAATTTTTTGCGGAATCATGAGCTTGAGAGGGCATTTCTGGAGTTTAAGACCGCTCTAGAGCTTTCAGAGGCATTGGGGGATCATGTTGAAGAGAAGAAGGCTGCAAGAGGTCTTGGTATGGTTTCTCTTTCCCATTCATTGCTATTCTTCTTTTGACAATGTCATCTATCATCTATCCACCAGAGCTAAATTTCATTTCCCTTCCAAGTTATGAATTGTTCCCCATCTATAAACATCATGGGATTTTTCATGAGGACAAGCATTACATGATTGACAATTTTATGGGAAAATTTACATACATACCACATTTTTTTTGTATTTACACATCTAACATATAAACTTTCATTTTTGTATTTATAGCATTTTACATGTGCTTTGAAAAGGTGCATTTCACTTTCTAAAGTTAATAATAGCGATATTTTGATGTGATAAAAAAGATTTGAGTGTTTGTCAGGACCCGACCTAAGAGTTAGATTATCGAGGCGAGAACTGACTGTCAGAAAGAGGAAAACTATCTAACAATTTAATTTCATAGATAAAATGATTCAAAACATAAAATAGCCATTCTATGTCATAAAACTTTAATTTACAATAATTTATTCATACTTAAACTCTTAACATATGACAAAACAAAAAAATTGAAGTGTAATACCTATCAGTCCGAGGTCCTCAGTGTTTGTATATGTATTCTCGTTTTTCTATAAAATATCAACAACTGAAGGTGTGAGTTATACTACTCAGTGGATAAAATATTTTTAAATTACAATAATTTTTATTTTAAAATATTTTGTAAAAGTTACATTAATTAGTAAAAGATTGTGAACAGTAAAAAGAGAACAATAAAACAACAGTTTGTGCTTATTTTTTATTTATCTATGTTACAATATCCATCAAAGGTAGTTATTGTTTAAAGATATACTATAAGTATTCATTTAACTCTTTCTAATCCACCAAACAGGTAGGTAACCATTTCATTTCTATTTTTGAGATTTTTTATATTGCTTTAAACTGTCTTTCAGTGAAATTTTCTTATTCTTTCACAAAAGATTTTGTGTGGAAAGTTTGTGTTGAAAGTTCCCTTTAGGGCAAGCGACGGATAAGGTATCCATCAATACCCTTGGAAGTCGAGTCTAAGAGGCAAGACTCGATGAGAAGATATCATACCTTTGAAAGTTGAGCCCAATTGACAAGTCTTGATGGAAGATATGATACCTCTGAAAGTCGATGCTAAGAAGCAAGACTCGATGGGAATATCTCATACCCCTAAAAGTTCGATGGGAATATATCATACCCCTAAAAGTTGAGCTCAGGTTGTAAGAATCGATGAGAAGCAACGATACTCTTAGAAGACAAGCCCAGGAGGTAAGTCTCGATGGGAAGCTACCGTACCTATGAAAGTTGAGCCCAAGAGACAAGACTCGATAGGAAGATACCATACCTCTGGAAGTGGAGCCTGGAAGGCCAACTTGATGGGAAGCTATAGTGCTTCTAGAAGGCAAGCCCAGGAGGCAAGTTTTGATAGGAAACAACCATGCCCTTCAAAGTTAAGCCCAAGAGACAATTCTCGATTGGAAGATACGTTACCCCTGAAAGTCAAGACCAATAGGCAATACTCGATGGGAAGATACGATATTCTGAAAGTCTTGCCAAGAGACAAGTCTCAATGGGAAGCCAATATGCTCATTGAAGACAAGCTTGGAAGGCAAGTCTCGATGAGAAACTACCGTGTCCCTAGAAGTCAAGCTCAAGAGGTAAACTCTATTGGAAGATACGGTATCTCTGGAAGTCGAGCCCAAGAGTTAAGATCCGACGAGAAGCTGCATCTGGACGATATCGTACCACTAAAAGACAATCTCAAGAAGCAAGTCTCGATGGGAAGCTAGTAGTGGATATGATTCTAACTAGAAAGACTCCACAAGAGCAAGTGGTTGACAGAGTCTCTAATCAAAGAACTCAGAAGGATAAAAGTCTCAAAAGTTATAGATACATCTAAGAACTCAGAAGGCACAGGTGCATCTAAGAACTCATAAGGCCACAAGTCTGAGAAGGCCTTAGAAGACACAGATACATCAAAGTCCATAAAATACACATGTACATCTAAACCATCAGAAGGCTACAAGTTTCAAAAGATATCAACGCATTTCAAACTCCTAGAAGACATAAGTCTATGAAATCACAAGCCTATGAGGGCACAAACCTCAGAATTCACGAGCCTCAAAAGTTACACAATTCTTTTTTTATATAATGTGCATGTGCTTACTTTGATTACTGACTTTCGCATGCTTGAGAAGCCAAAGAGCCTCAAAAGGCAGAAGTTTAGAGGTTGACAACAATATGCACCTTTGAAATAGGAGAGCTACGACCCATATGTTGGGCGTCATAATCCTAAAAATTGAGTAGCCACAAATCAGAAGGAAATGCAAAGTCAACCTCAGAAGCAACGTCAAAGAAGTACAAAGAACTATTCTATCATCATCTACAATCATCTCATTAAAAGTCATAAAGACCAACAAACACTGGTGATGCAACACATCATCAAAATGAAGCCAAATGTTCACTTACAAGAGCCCAAGCATGAGCTCAAGTGCCTAATTAAAAGCACATTCAAGGCCCATCACAATAGCCATATCAAGAATAAATATTTGAATTTGTATTTTATCATTTAAATTTTAATTTTAGTTTCTAGATGTTTGAATTTTCAAATTTTGAGGCTTTTATGGCTGCACATAAAAAAAAATAAAATAAATTAGGAAGGTGGCTAGCATTTTTCTTCATTAATAGCCACCTACCACCCTTCAAAAGTACTTCCCCCTTTTATTGAAATTTTATCATTTTAATCTTTATAAATAGGGTTGATATATAATTATTTGGATCAGTTGTTGAATGAAATATTTGAGTGAGAACATTCTCTCTTGTTGCTTGGTGCTTTGTGGCTTCAAGTGTTCTATTTTCTTTGGTGAGCTTAGGTATTTATCTTTGCTTTTCTTTTATGTTATTCATTAATCCTCAATTAAACTTACTCTTAAACTCTTCACCACCCTTCATCCACATCCTAAGTTTCTTATAATATCAACAAACCAATAACCAAACCCTCACAACCATTCCAAACTCCTCTTCATAGTTCTTGACCAATCAAGAGCATATTAAGATACAGCCTTATCCCTTAACTCTAAACACCATTGTAGACCCATCCAAACCCACCCATCTACTCCAGATCATAAGTAGACGTCCTAAGTTAACCACCAATAATAATTTCTAGCCACTTACCCACTTTTCCAAAGAGATATTTCGAATAAGCTCAAACCAGCGTTATCCATACTAGTCATGGTATTTTAGCCGTCCTTCCCTCTTAAATCTTTTAACATTATATCAAAACCTCCACATCACATCCTTAGACTTAAAATCAATCAATAACAAATTTAGTGCTTTATCTTATCAAAAGGCCACCCATCTCCATCATATTTGGTATCAAAGCGAATCTGGGAAGGAGCTGATTTGGTTAGAACTTTTGGACATCGAAGAAGAAATTCTTTGTGGTGGACTTGTCTCTACAAGCTTATGAGTTACTTCAAGAGAAGGTTGAGCTTAGTGAATTTCTTCTAATGATAGATTTATTTTATTTTAATAGCTTGGACATCTAGTATATTTCTTGCAAAACTATAGTGTAAGCACGAAGTTTAATTAGTGAACTCCACTATAAAGCCTTACTTGCATCCCTTGTGTGAATCTATCCCTAAACTTTTTTTTCTTGATTGAAAACTTTGTTATGGGAGTGCTCCACTTAAAGGAAATACAACCTTACCATGATGCGATCAAAATATTAAGTTTTCTGCTTTACTTTTTGTTTTAACTTTTTATGATAAAGTAGTTGCTCATTATATTTGAAGAACTTTGCCATGTCAAGGACTTGAGGTTTTAGATTCAACACAAATTGCATTTAAAATTTCTTTTACGAGAGTTTGTGTATAAAAGGTAATGTATTTGAGGCTAAAAAGGATTTTGTCAAAAATGTATAAACTACCTGATGAGAGCTTGGGACGTAAGTGGTATTTGTACCCCCCTTATCACCTGAAAGTTCTTGTAGATGAAGATTCACTTTATTTTGCATATATATTTTATTTTTGCTCTCTCTCATCTATAGTCTTTTCCCTTTCATCTCTCTTCACAAGAAAAAAAATAAAAAAAACAAAAAAAAGCATCATGGGACCGAAATTAGTTTCTTAAGATCAACTTGAAAATTTAATTCAAATGGTTGATTTGTTCGATCTTAGGATTCATGAAAGTGATACTAAGAATATAGAATTATTTGAAGGGACTAACAATTAAATGCAAGATTTAAAAGATCAAATGCAAATAGTCCTAAGTCTTCTTCAAAATACTAAACCCCTTGCCACACCGTCTGCCCAAATTCATTTTACACCATTAAAAGAAAATGATTCATACTTAGAGCTAAGAGACCACCAAATTCATAGAAGACAACCTATTCTTAGGAATGGAGGTAGAAGCAATCATCTTTATGGAATAATGATGACTTTAATGACCTCTCTAGGGTAGTTAAAGTTGAAACACCTTCCATGATCCTAATAAGTTCTTAGATTGGTTAGTCCAAATGGATGATCTTTTTGGTTGACATAAGATGAATGATTATCAAAAAGTTGCATTTGTCAAAATGAGTTTGACTGGTCATACCTAAAGTTATTGGAATAATACATTAGCTAAGGAGTGGAGGTTAAGAAGGAACTTTCTCACTTTGATTGAAATGGAGTTGCTAAGAACTAAATATTGTCCTAGACATCATGATAAAAAATTATATGGGCAATTATTGACTTTAAGGCAAGGTAGTTTTCCTGTGACTGAATACTTGAACACATTTGAAGACCTGATTGTTAGGATTGACTGCATTGACAACGATTGACAATTGGCTAATAAATTTGTCATTGGTCTTAAGGTGGACATTAAAAATGAAGTTCCTTTATTTGACACCTATACCCTAAAAGAGGCATTCCATTATGCTTTGTTAGTAGAAAATCGAAGGAAATCCACCTCTCTCTAAAAATTAAAAGGAAAAATCCCAAACTTCTTTGCATAAACCTGTTGTTAGACCACTCATCATAG